CGGCGAACCCCAGCCGCGCCGGTGCGCAGGACATCAACATCGTAGTCATGAACCCGCCCTTGGGCTCAAGACTGGTTTAGGGTTTAGGGTTTAGGGTTTAGGGTTTAGGGTTTAGGGGACTGCTGGGATTTGGGGCTTCTTTTGAGGGTTGCGGGGAGGGGTTGCTGCTGATCTACTGAAAGGCTTACTGTGAGGGTTTCTACTCGGGTTTCTGTAGGGCTTGCTATGCAGCTTACTATTTGGCTTGGACTCCTACAAGGGGTATTATAAGGCTCTAAACCCTAAACCCTAAACCATTATAAGGTTTGCCATCAGACCTTCCCGGAAGCCCGAAACCTTACTACTTGGGGGTTTCCCAAAATAGGGGACCATAATATAGTACCCTAAGTAGTAGGATCCTTATTATAAGGACCCCAAAGTAAGGTACCCCCTATTTTCTGAAACTCCCACTTGTAGCCGGTTGAGTGGGTTGAAGGGTTTTTCTGGGCTTCGGCATCCGGGGTTTGGGTAGGCAAATACAGGATTTGGTGATCTGCGGTTTTTGTGCTTGAGGCTGGTGAATAATGCGGACATTCTGCTGCACAACCTTACACCCTTCACCCCACAACCTACCCTAAACCCTAAACCCTAAACCTTAAACCAACAACCTTCCAGGATTCGTATCACTGCCAGCCACGCCGCCTTCAACTCTCCCTCACAAACAGCGAGAAAGGAGGGTTTAGTGACTTTGGATTTAGAGGTTAGGGACTTCGGGTTACGGGTTTAGGGACTTGGGTTTTAGGGTTTAGGGACTTTGGGTTTAGGGTTTAGGGGTCCCTGCCAGAAGAGAATTCAGGCATTTTCAGCAAATGCCTTCTCACAACCCTATCATACTGTCGAGATGTTGTAAGTGTCCCATGCATAGGAATCCTATAGACACAAAACAAATACCGAATAAATCCCGCAAAGGTACGTATTAAGTACACCGCAAATATTCCAGAATACCCCTCACAAATATCCGGCAGAGCTCTGCGCAGATACTGTTTAAACTGCATTACAAGGTCGCCCGAGTACATGGCCATCAAAAACACCCTACGAACCTTGAGCCTTATGCCCTAAAGTTGCGGCGAGGTACAACGGCCCAGCCGGTGATCTCGCGACCATCTCCGAGCCGCTGCTCAGCGCCGCGGCGCAGGAGATCGAGGACCTGGAAGGTTTGTTTTGTAGGGTTTTTGGGTGCTTGGGGGTTTGGGGTTTGCAACAAGGGTTCTATCAGGCTTGATTTTTGGATTAATGTATCGGGAGTTTTGTCAGAGTTTCGTGGGTGCGTAAGGGTGTCAGAAGGGTGCAGGGTGTTCCGGGGACCTAAACCCTAAACCCTAAACCCTAGACGGGATCGTCAGGAGCCAGGGTTTCGGGGTCTACTTCGGTTTCAGAAAAAGGTCGTTTAGTGTGTAGGATACGGTCTTCAATGCCAAGCCCCAAATTTCATAGCATCGAGGTCGGAGAGAACATCGGGGCCTTAGCGTCTCAGAGTGGTAACCTTTCGAAGAAAGTTGTTTTGTGCATGCCGAACCATGGCAAGTTCTGTCAGCCCTTTAGGCTCCACAAGCCTCAGGGTTTATGGTTTTGGATTTGGGTAGTTCTCTAAATTAGGGTCCCTTTTAGGGTCCCTTTTATAAGGGTGCCGTACTATATTGGGGACCTGAAAAAGGACCCTAATTTAGTGAACTACCCATTTAGGGGCCGAGGGACAGACGAGTTTATGAGGTCCCGGTGATGAGCCTCGCCATACTTACCCCGATACTCCAAGCCACGTAGGGTTCTTCGTCAGTCCGCCATGTGCTGTAGCGTACGACACCCAGAGACTCCAATGACCCTTAATTCAGGAATATACCTTAAATCTTATTAGGGATCCTACTATAATTTAAGGTATATTCCTTAGTTAAGGGGTATTGGAGCAGCCTGGAACCTTCTAATCTTGAAGCGCTTCACATGGAGGATAGCAGCTTCCTCCCGGGCTATCGCCTTAAGCTGCACTTGGCGGATGGCGAGTGCTCCGGGCAGACGCCTGGCGTGCAATGCTGTGATGTCGGGAGTTGACAGTGGGCATTAGACAGGCGTACAGCAGGTAGGTAGACAGATGTCATAGAGAGCGAGAGAGAGAACGCAAGAGAGAGAGAGAGAGAGAAGAGAGATAGAGAGAGAGGAGCGACAGAGCCAGAGAGAGAGAGAGAGAGAGTCAGAGATAGATAGATCCGCAGGGGAGGTTAACGTCCTTTAGCCATTCTGCGGTTGGGCGTCGTCCTCAGCCCCCTGACACCCGAGCCTGTACTGTTGGCCCTGCACCCCTACCTTAAGAACCCAAAGCCTACTTTTTTGTGGGGTCCCTATAAATTCCATATTAGGGTTAAAAATAGGAACCGACAAAAAAGTGGGTTTTGGGTTTAAAGGTAGACCTAAAACCAACCCAACTCAGCCAACCCCAGGATTGCGACCCGTCGTGTGATCGAAGCGTTCAGCGAGGGCCAACCCAAGCACGCCGCGCAGACCTCGGCGGAGCGACGACGGATTTTGCGTTGAAGTTTTGTGGGGCGTGGGGGTCTGAGGATTGGAGTTTGGAGGTCCAGGGTTAATTTTTTTTGGTGGAGGTTAGGCGCCAGGGATCTTTAGTGTTCCTTCATGGGGATCTTTAGAGTTTTAGAAGGCTGTGCGTTGATGAGGAGATCATGCTTTTGGCCCAAACTTGGTTTGGGGCCTCCAGGGCAAAATAGCAAACCCTGATGCAAGACTGAGAAACCCCTTATACAACCTTGGAGCAGCCTGGTTCATTATTGGGTGGTTGTCAAAATTATGGTCCCTTTTTGGGTCCTTATTATAATACGGCACCTATTATTTAGGGTACCCCAAAAGGGACCATAACTTTGACAACTACCCTATTGTTTTTGTCATTATCAGCCCTACAAGACCCTTTTTCAATATGCAAACGTCGTGAAGCTCTTATAGCAAATTGCATCAAACTCGTCAAGCTCCTGACAAATCTGCTGTGCCTTCGTGAGCTTGGGGTGTTCGGGTGGGTCTAGAGTTTCGAGGGTTTGAGGGTGGGCTGGAGGGTTTCTGAAGCATCGCCGGGTCTTGCGGCTCATACTTTAGGGTCTTGGGTTTTGGGGATTTTACCTTGGTGGTCTTTTGTCTTTTGGTTCATGCTTCAGACTGTTTGGTTTTGGGGTGTGGGCCTTTTAGGGTTATGACGTACCTCCCGACGAGCTTGAGGTGCTTGGCGCAGCATGCAGCGGTGCATCAGAGGCTGCACCTTGGAGCCCGATGGGAGGGCTGCTTCCAGTTGGGGTTCGGGATCTTAGGTTTTGCCTGCTCGTTCATCGAGCGCCGAAGAATGCCAGAGAGCAACCCATCTGTTCATTGACCACAACAGGGTTTTTCAGACTGAGGACAGAGTGCGCAGCTTAGATTATGGCTTTCTCCATTGGGCTTCGAAACCCAAAGCACGGGGTATCGGAAATCGGTCGAGCAGAAAAACGGGTGCCAGCAGCCGAGGTGAACGATGCGCTTTACTACTACAAGGTGCTGCAGGCCCTCTGGCATCTGACCTCCTCTGTATGCAGCGTTTTCGATGTTTGGGGCTGATGCACGGGGGTCAGTCACTACCCATAGGCCCTAAAGTAGTTCCTTTTTGGGGTTCATATATAGAATCCTATAAGGTAACCTACTATGGGGCCTATGGGTACACAATGCTCCGAACAGGGGGAGGCGTTGACGGCAGGGACCGGCTCGCTGCGGAAGAGCCGAACACTTCGAGAACCGCTTGGGCCTCTCTCACTTGGAGGATCACGGGACTAAGTAGGGTTATAAGTCCCCTACTTAGTAAGTAAGGTTATAAGTCCCCTAATTGGGGTTATAAGTATAGTTACCTTAGTTATAACCCTACTTACTAAGTCCCATGATCCTTTAAGAGCCTCCTGCAGGCTAAATACTAAACCCTCGCCCTCACTGCCCAACCCCAACTGCCAATGGTAAGCCTTCCACTTCAAGGCTCAATCAAGCCAAACACACCAAGCCCTATACCCACTCTCGGAAGTTCGATCTTTACATGGTATTCCCCATCGAAGTTCAGCAAAACACATCCGAAAGCACCCGTCTACGACCCTCGGTCCTCAAGCCTAGGAGCCGTTTACCTCAAACTTCAAGCTTCCATCTACCTGAAACCCTGGGCCCTGAACTCAAACCATCGGTTTAGGGTTTAGGGTTTAGGGTCTAGGGTGTAGGGTTTAGGGTTTCCCCACTCCGGGTCTGCATCAAAACCATTGGGGCAGGTTTCCCCGTCGTCGACCTCGGTGAGCCTCAGTGATCGCCGCCCCGTTGCATCTAAAGCGTCTTTTCGGTTCGGGCAGCCCAAAGGAGCCGTGCGCGCGTGGTTCTTCATAGACTTTGTCTGGGGTGCTATGGGCGTTTGCGGGGTTTCAGGTGGTTTTCTGAACCGTTCTAGGGCTTCGCAGGGGAACGATGACGTGGATTAGGGTTGTAGCACAGAGTCCTTAAAGCCCTAAACCCTAAAATCCTAATGTCCTAAACCCTAAAACCCCAATGTCCTAAACCCTAAAATCCAGAAGCCCCAATAACCCTGATACCATAATTGCGCTAAACCTAAACCCTAAACCCTAAACCCTAAACCCTAAACCTTAAACCCTAAACCCTCCAGAACGGTTGCTGTTGAGGCAGAGTCGGGAGGCCAGCGGAGTTGGCTTCCCTCTTCGAACTTCAGATTCTGCACCCCAAAACCCACAAAAGCCTCAAGCAAACCGAGGTTTCTACAGTACTTCTACGGGGTTTTATAGGGTCTCCATAGAAAGTTTTCGAGGCTTCTTTTAAAGTTCAAAGTATAATAAGGTCTTCATAAAAAAAAGGAAGCCTACTCATAATCTCGATACCCAAATGTCCGAATACCAGCGCATTTGCTCAGGCGCTCGTTTTCCTTTCTTTACCCGTATGGCGCCTTCCTATCGCTTCAACGTCTACGCCGTCTTCGACGTGTTGAAGATGTTCAACTTCCAAAGCAGCCTGGCTATGTCCGCGAGGTCTGAAGACGCAAGGGTTGTGACTGGTAGGCTTTGGTCATGTTTCGTCCCCTGACTCATTGCGTGACAACCCCTCTTAGCCGTATTGGGGTCCGCAGGATGCGTATCGACACCACCAGTACATACCGGTACTCTCAACAGCCGCCCTGTTAAAGACCCTTAGAAACCCTTCATTCTAAAATCTCTACATGACCCATAAAGACCTTACGAAACCTTCTAGACAGACTTTCGGAACCCTCAAATTAAAGGCCTCAGTCCTTCAGGAGTCGGAGTGGTTCATGGGCCACTGAGTATCAGCGCCACTCGACCGGTCTCAAGGGTTTTTTGCGTGGGTTTTGCAAACGGCGTTCATGGGTTCGTTAGATGTTAGGGCTTCAGGGTTTCGAAAGCTTGAATTTGGATCTGAACATGTAGCATTGTAGGGCTCAGAAGATAGTATAGGGTTTCAGTGTTGGAGGCTGAAGGTTGGGATTGAGCGATAAGCATGGACAGGATGAGCCACCCTCCGATTTTCCTTTTTGAGCAAGCAGGTTGAGGGACGCTGCCTGGAATCTTAAGGAAGAAAGACGAGGACCTTGTTGAATTGAAGAGCACGGCTTTCGGGGGGTGAAATTGTGCGGCAAAAACTAATCAGCCATTCTGAAAGAGTAATGTTAACTTTGGGACTGTGCGGCCTGCCACGATGGGGGCAGGGGTATTTTGGGACCACGTCTGTGGTCTGTGTTCCGCTCCGTTATCATTTACAGTTAAGATGCTGATGATGGCGACGACAACCCGAACCAAATCGGCCGCACTTTGGTATCTGATCGGGACGAGGGTTGCGAGGCTTCACTCGCGCTTCCTTTGTCATGTGAGTCCCTCGATTGATTCCCAGGTGAAAGGTCAGGCACACCAAGGTACTCGAAAAGTGAAGACGCGACAACGGCAGGCAAGAAACAACACGGGTGTGCCTCAAATAAATGCGGCTCTTATGATACCCCCCCTGAATGCTCCTTCATTCCCTAAACCTTAAACTCATGCGCCCGAAAGGGCTACTGCATTTTTTAAAAAAAAACCATGCGCCCACGCCCATCTCTCCAGCCCTGAGCCCACGGCTTGCCAGCCCCGTTTGGCAAAGGTCCTTGCTCGGGATTTTTTCATGGAGCTCGTGCCGCTGGGCGGATGGATCACAGAATACTCCAAGTGGTTTCTATAGGCTGCTTTCTTAGGGCTCCTTTTTATAGTTATAGTTTTATGCACCCCAGAACCTTATTCTAATTGCAATTGTTCAGGCTCCTAGAGTAGTTGAAGCTTCGCAGGCTTTCGCAGGCCCGAGCCGGATATCTTCGGCTTAGAGTCCTAGTTCAAGGTTGATCATGGAAGGTTTCTGCGGGGTTCTAAGCCCTAAACCCTAAACCCTGAATCTGAATTTGGGAACCTGACATCGCTCCAGTGAATGCTTCAATCTGCTTTGCGAAAGGCAGCGGGACCTGGATGCGGGTACCTACTCCTGGACCGTTCTTCTTCGGAAGCAGGTTCAGGACATCCGTCGGAGCTTTTGGAACCGGTAGCCCCCTCTTTGGGTAAGAGCAGACATACCACGATCTAATCTAGCTGGGAGTTTCCACAAACAAGGGGTACCCTATTTGGGGGTCCTTATAATATGGATCCTACAATTTGGGGTACTACAATAGCCCTAGACCCTAAACCCTAAACCCCTAAACCCCGAACCCTCAACCCTAAACCCTAAACCCTAAACCTTAAACCCTAAACCCTAAACCTTAAACCCCGAACCCTAAACCCCGAACCCTAAACCCTAAACGGCCCTAA